TGATATCAACATTTGAAACCACTAGTTGGTGAAATCAAAAACTTCTTTGGTAATGGAATACCAGTACAAGATTCGAAAACAGGGCAATAGAAGGTTCTAGTGCTAGCGGTGAATATAGATTAATATACTCAGTCAATGCATTAACATATAAACCGAGCAGAGAGGTGGGAGAAAATTCACTTTTTACAAAGGGTGCCGCAAAATCGTCAAACAAATGATTAATGTAAAAATTAAATGAGAGATTGAGAATTGTCAATGTTAGTTGAAAATTGACATTGTGATGAAGAAGAATACCGACCAGGATAATTTTTGACGCTTTTGTCGTAAAAAAGCATGTACTAGTGAATTTTTTATCAATAACTTCCTATCCTTCGTGTCATGCTCGGCGAACTATGAAATTCCTGATGAACCCTCGCAAAATAATTGAAGTTGACGTTCGAGGAAATTTATCGTTTCGCCCAATATTCCACAGACTAAACAAAAACTCTGGATGGTATGCGAAAATTGAGAAAGTTCGAGAACTTGTTATCATATTGGAAAATTCATTAACAATTTCGTGAAGTGGAAATATATCAACTCCGCCATTCCGCGTTACACTAAGGCAAAATGCGTTTTCAATTAAAATGTCCGATATAATTGGAAAGTTACAACCCTACCCAGCTAAATCATCGATAATATCGTGACCGACAAAAGGTATATGCATTCTTGCTAATAACTTTTCAATTGCTAATATAAGCGTAGTGAAAGAATCTCCCGTCACGAGTTGAATTGGGTTTTCTTCTTCTTCGTTTCTTTAACGTCGGCCTTTTTCTGCTACTGAGGCTAATTACCGACGCCGGTGAACACACTACCCCCAACCGGACATTTTGCCTAATCCTCTGGTGTTCCAACCAGAGGTAGGGATCTTTAACGAGTCCAACATCCATGGCACTCCATGGCCTCGGGACCGCCGGCTCAACGTCCTCTCCGAAGGATGGCATATCGTACCATATCTTGTGCTCATTGATATGGTAGCTGAAGCTATGATTTGCTATTATGAACGGGCTTTCGTGGCGTTTTCTCGAATGGTCACTCATCCAAGTACTAACCGCTCGTCAGATAGGTATCGAACGGCTAGTGCTTTACCTGAGAAGCTATGGCGATGCCCCTAATTGGGTTTTTCGAATATTGAGTTAACCACGGACTACAGAGTAATGCCTTATTATATTCCGATCGAGACTGGTGAACCAATAAACAGCATCAATTGGATCTGAATCGTTTATCGAACCATGTGATGTGATACGAGAATGAGGTTATTCAAAGTAGTGATTTTGCGTTCACCTAGTAGCAGTAGTATGGTGGGGATGCTGTAGCCAAGCAAGTAGGTCCCAATGGGCCATTTTCGCGAACTCCTGTACTCTCAAAATATGTGTACAGTGTCATTCATGAAGTCGGCATCATATGGGGAAAACTTTGAATAATGATTTATTTGGAAATTCGACTTGTTTTCATCCCAATTTGACATAAAATTGAAAAGGAAAAAACTTTTCTCTGTACATTTTTCTGAATTCGAACAAAAAAGCCCATTTTCTACGACGCGTCTGAACTGTCATCTCAGAAGAACTTATTTTTTTCACGAACATTTGCCTACTTCACAGAGATGCAATTGTAAATTATGCAGAAGATACTTTTTTTAATATCTCCTAATTGACAGTTGCAATATTTGGAAAAAAAAAAGATTTTCCTGCCTAATTCACAGTTGCATCTGTGAATTAGGGGGAGATTTGAGAAACAAGTTTTGTCTGCCTAATTAACAGTTGCAACCGTAAATTAGCACTAATTCCCATTGATTAGTCCCTTTGATAATCGGAGCCTCAGATATAGCTTTCCCTCGAATAAATAACATAAGATTTTGATTACTACCTCCTTCATTATACTATCAGTGCTAATATAATAATCCAAAATGACGATTTCAATTCCAAACAATCTATTGATTATCACAATTCACAGTTGCAATTGTGAATCAGGCAAATATTTGTGAAAAAGAGTGTTGAAAACATGTAGCTCTTGACATGTAGCGAAAATCACGTGACTTCGACCGAGTAGTAGGCCAATTTTTATTTTGTTTGAGCAATACTAAAATTGTTCTAAAATTGTTCTATCCGTCATTCGGTTGCCCCCTTACGAGCAACCCTCAGAAGTCTTCGAGAGACTTGTGCGAGCAAGGAATGACGGGGGCCTTACCTTTTAACGTGTGATCCCAAACACTTTCTTGGGCCATCAGAAAAATTTCTGCAGTCGACGGGACTCGAACCCACGACCGGCAAGCGAATGCGGATTAGAATATGGACACTCTGTCCGCACGGCTACCAACGCACAAATCGTATTTCACAGTGAAGTATTTTCAAATGTTTTTCCTCATATTGTCATGATGTCAACTCCATGAATGATACTATATATACGCTTGCTTCACCAAGATTTCCTTTACGAATCGCCCTGACTTACTAATGAAGACCAGTATGTCCGCGTCCATTCTGATATGATCAACTACTCTTGTTGAAGTTTGTTGACTCCAAAGATTTTGATTATAACCCCCCTTCCTCCCCTTCCACCGTAAGCCTCGCACCTGCCGAGAAAATGGAGTGACTTTTCTTCGTCCTCCACACATCTGCGTCAAGTCCTCCCATATGCGCTCACCTAAATTCCACCATTTCAATGAACTCAATGGGAGAATCATCCCGGAACATATCTCACATGTCAGTTGAGATATCCCTATAGCATTCTGGTAATAATTCACTTCTTCAGATAAACAACGAGATATGTTGCTAACATCCAATACGAAATCCTCTCCGTTTCGGTCTGACAGTTCGAATCATAGTTGGGAACCGATATCTCCATCTTGAAAAATGGTTCTACCCGAAATGCTATTCGTTCTCGCGGTGTATGTATATCTGTGAATCATAACTCTCGACTGTATAAATCGAAGTATGACATTTTTGCCGCATAAAGTTTTCCACTTCTCCGGTGTCGTTGATATCTCAAATAAGGTGGAAATCTGCATTTCGTGTACCTAACCTAACCTAACCTGACTGCTCATAATCCATGCACAGATAACAACTATAATAACTAGCAGTTTACTGAAAGAATTGATAGAGGAAGTAGAATAAAAAATATTCGATTACTATGAGAGATCGACAAAGAATGAGACAAGCGAAGACATTTCTGGGGGACTTCAAATCTTGGAAGCAACATGTGATACAAAACAAAAACGCGGTTTCTTGGATTAGATATTGGTAATGAAATAAAATTCGAAAATCAAGTCAATTATATTTGTGATGAACTTGCACCTGAGTGTTATGCAAAACAAGTTACATCAAATAAGTGAGGTTAGTCAGATGCAAGGACTATTCATTCTTCTTCGATTGATACCTTGTTGAGGAAGGAAATAGAAACCTGAAGAATATCCTGTGACAGCAATTTTTTTACAGTTTCATATATATATAGAGATTATTTCATCGCCATTCTCAAGACTCCCATCTATTCCGCAATATTTTCAAATCGGACTGTGTAAAGGGTATTATCTACGTCACTGGCACTCTGATATTGTATTCTTTGGATATTATTATATCTTGTTTTCTACCTTCCGTGATTATTATCACCTACTTATATCAATTCAAAACTTTGTCTATAATTACTGTGTTCCTACGACAATGAAGTATATCATGATTCTTTTGATATACTAAAGCTCCTGACTGAGAGGTCTACATTCCACATCTCTTTTTCGTGAGATCTAGTTCTATGACTATTGGGAGATATACCCACAATACTATCGATAACAAATTCTACTGAATATTTGACCAGTCAACCAGAATACCAAGATATCAAAAGTTATATATCTTGGTTGAAAGTGGTCATCCATGCAGACGCGAAAGTTAGAACTATTCTTATACACGTATGTTCATGTCCATCACACTCCGCTCCATGACTATATTTGACTGGAGTGGGTTTCATCTCTTTGCGCTAAAACTAACTTCAACAATGCTTCCACACTGATATTGTGAAGTGAACAGGAATAACGCTGAAGTAAAGTTCAGTCTTTTTGCGATATTTTCTTGTTGACTTTCAAAGGAAATGTGCGGAAACGTCTGTCGGACAAAACCACTGCAAAGCACAATTTCCTGGAGTGGAACTGAAAGCTTTCATAGGCGTGACGTTCGCCATTAACACAAAACAGTACGGCTTATTTACCAAAAAATATATATTTCATAATAAACTGTTCTATCTTTCTCTTCTATCTATCTCTTCGTCAATTCAGATTCGCCATTTCCGATATTCTGTTTGCATGCATGACTTGATGATTGGCTTCCGTTCACCTAGTTCTTGGTACATTATGCACGAAAATATCCTGGTCGATTCAGAGCTTCACTTGCTTCTTCTCAGACTAACGAGTAAACCTCTCTGTATCTATCATTCTTGTATGTGCTGGTATCCAGGATAACGTCTGACTTTCAAATTTCACATGGCTCCTCAGCAATCCCGGACAAATTTCGAATTAACGTACATTGAGTATAGAGTATATAGATTGAAGGAACTGGGATTAAAAATGTTTCATTCAGCAGTTATCGGTTGTTTTTGAATAGAGACTTGTATAACTGGATTTTCTCGGTGTATGTGCACCAGCCAGCACCGAAAAGCGATGCTACAGTATTCAGCAGGTAATTCATATCATGATGATTTTGTTAGTTTGAAACTAATTGAAACTGATCACATTGTACATGGGAAAGCATGATAGCCTCTAATCATCTACTATAGTAATTGCCAGATCAAAAGGAGATGAAAGGAAATGATTCGAACTGACACACTTCTCCTGGTGGTCCGTTATGTGAATAAATAAATTCGTTTTCAAATAATTCAGAATATATAGCTTTCATGACCAATTCATATCCTCAAAAGAGGCATTCAGAGTTCGGATAATATATTATCCCAAATGACGAACCTGGTGAACGATTCACATAACTCACGTGATCATTTCGCTTTCGTGATCGTCCCCAGGCCCGCCTGTCACTCCTCTTTTTTCCTCCATCCGCGCCATTTTATAAATCACTTCTAAACGACGCCATCATATACATACAGGATTCGAACCAGACCTGTATCTGTAACAGACGGACGTGCAGTTGACTCTCTACCGGAACTTGCTCGGTCTCGGAGGCGAAAAAAGAGAAGAAGAGAAAGAGGAAGCAGCTGCGTTTGTATCAGTATAGAGACATCGCGAACGCAGTGGCATTGTATGATTTTATTGATTCATGTTGTCATGAATCATAAATATACTGATTAGCAATGATGTGATTGAAAAAATTTCCATAACTGACGCATATTATATATACAGGGTGATTCTTGACCTGTAGGTATTGGATCTGGAGGCTAGTGATGCGCATGTGAAGTTTGGTGGAAGATCTTTCAGTTTCCAAGATAATAATAATAATAATAATAATAATAATAATATCTTTATTGCTGTAGAAATCTATAAACATATTACAATGAATGTAATAGTTATATGCGTTTTGGATATATATATTCAAAAATATTCTTCTATTCATCTAGATTATCTCTGTAAATATGAATAGTTCGTATTTTCTTTGGCATCAAACTGGTATTGGTTTGCCATGGGTTCTCGATTCCCGATATCCCAAAATTGCTGGGACACAGAGCTACCACGTGTAACACAGTTCGAAATAAGTTGATCGGACCCAACTTATTTTTATGAAAAAATTCACCGTTTGTTCGTGAGACGAGTTCGAAGTTCACATAAAAAATAGTTATTTATGATACAGTAGTAGATTTCAGCTCCAGGTTGTGTTGTCTGCCGTAACCTGTAAAATTTATATGCCGTCGAGATCGAGCCAAAAGTTCAAAATGCTCCTTCACCAAAATTTCAAATGTGCCTTCGAAACACTTTACAATGCTTATTTTTATATCCAGACACACGTCAGTGTCTTACACAATAGTTACTTCCAGAGAAACTGATGATTTTGACTAACTTCAGAACGTCTCATTGAATTGATACATCGCACACTTATCAAGGACCGACGACAATTATATGATTGTTGCATCATCCTGATCAGGATCTTCAGGATGAGCAATTTGTACATTCAGAGACAGGGCAATGTCTTGCACCAAGTATACTCGTATGATGAAATGTAATGGTTGCATCCAGAGAGACGATAGTGTCTTACACCAAGAGCTCGTATGAAATGAAGTATCTGGAGAAGAAGCCTGATTATTCCAAGGAAGGCAACAGGCGCACAAATTTCCTACTCTAACTGCGAAGCGATACCTACAAAAAATATTGAAAAAACTAAAAAATACGCCTTTGTTGTTAGCCGAACTGAGGAATAGAGAACAAATATTAGTTTAAATAACTGAAAAACAGCTTCATAGATAGCTAAACTAAAAAAAAAGTGAAAAATAAAATAATAATCTGGTTTAATGTATACAGTTTTTTCAGTTTTAAACCCCTCTTTACTTGTCTTGGACCGAACATATCGGGCTTTTTCATTCACGACTCCTGGGTTCCTAGATCTTTCCAAAATCCCATATCGCTGGACTGGTTGATTACAAATATTATGATCGGATACCTGATAGGCTTGAAATCAGTGAAAGAGAATAGATGTATGTTGGGGAACGGTTGGAGTCAAAACAATTTGTATACGGAAGATATCTAAATATTTTTTGCTCAGAAGTATCAACATACGAATTATCTCGTATTGTCATGCCAGTACCCTTGTTATTTTCCACACCAGTGATGTTTTCCTGAACAAATTTGGGTTTCTTTGACGAATCACCATAGCAACTCAAATGTATTTTTGTGGAATTTTTTTCTCGTAGGTACCTATTAGCGAAATGAATCGAAAATTTGTTCGACGTTTTATTGACAGAATAATATTTTGACGTCCTGAAATAGTAATTTTTTGCTTCTAATATGAGTAGGAATCAACGATTTATAGGCTGAAAGGATCCATAATCCAAAATGCATCTATTATATACAATTCCATAACACTACCTAAGATTCAAAATTTTTGGAAGATCTAATAAACCTAAGTTCGGCAGTCGGACATACCGACCTTCATCAGAAGGTCATGGAGGTTCGAATAGGAGATTTAGGAGAAGGGAAAATAGATATGTGTGCAACAGGATTCAGCGAAATGAGCCCACGAGGCCCTATTCCCTTTTCACTACTACTACTGATAGTAAATCTGTGTATTTTACTATGAAAAATTAATTCATGAAATCATACTTTCCTACCACTCGTAGTAATCCGAAGCTGACATGAAATGAAATAATATAATATGTTACATTCTAAAAGGGTATCTTCATGCAAACCATTATTGGTGCCGAAATTTCTACCCAAACTGAAGCTATTCATGAACCTATATGAAAATTAGATGAGTAAATAAATTCCAAAATTATTCAATTATCAAACACACTTTGGTGTCTAATTTTTTTACCAAATACCACACTCGGTTGAATCATTTTCCGAGATTCTTCTCTCGCTCATGAATATTTTGAGAAGCTTGAAAAAATGTCCGGATATAATTTTACATCTAGTGGTATTACAAGTGGAAATGTTTCAATCGCACGGTACGGAATACATATTTCATTCAGAGAAAATGGGGCATACGTGAACTTTTGTAGATTAGGTATTGATTGAAGAAAATACCTCCATGGGAAAACAATTTCAAAGATTTCTATCAACCAAGGAATTCAGGTAGACGACAAAATTTTTTGCCTGTTTCCAGACCATGAGGTCAGTCGTATCAGTGATTTCAGCAAAAATCTTCGATATAATATGACGCCACTGTCGATTCCAGCTATTTTCACTGGTCTATCCGTCGGACTATGACGATATCTTCCGGGACTTGCGGTTCCATTTTGTGGAAATGGCAGAGAAAAGGATATCTGGTTTCATTAGTGGAGCGGATTGATGACCTGCTCGGGTAATTACGGAAAGGGATTCTTCTGACGTTCCGTATTGAGTTTATGTGAACACGTAGAGAATTAGAAGATGATTAATGGACTCGTATCGATACATTGAGAAGGGTTGCAGCCTCATCCCCAGGTGTCATGAATTGTACGAATTGTTTGTCTCATTATTATTGTTGATATGTTTTTTTCGTTGTCGAATTCCACCAAGAATTGTTTTCTCTCTTCAAAACCAGACTCTCTGAGGGTTTGATTATTTGATTATTATTATATATAAAAAAATTGGGTCATTTAAATATGAATATACATAAGAAAATTTCTTTTGATCATTCCGAATGATTCATCTTCATAAGATCATCAGTTCATTCATCCATATCATCTAGATATTTGTGACTGGTTATTTCCATATCTGAAAAGCAGTGAGTAATTTAATCTGAGATTAAATATGCGTTGGTAGACATGGGTATCGAAGTGAAAAATTGCTTTCGCCTCAAATCAATTGGAAAAGCTTTTCTGCATGGTCTACCAAAAAGAATCACCCCTTCATAATTCACAAAATTGTTTCTATTTCTACCTCATTTCCAAGGCTTTCGAATCATCGATTATCGAACCATATAGCGGATTCTTGGATTGTTATGAGTTGAGGTGAATAGCAATTATCCTTCTTTCACTTCTTAAATTCCGAGCCGTACAAAAGTTAACTCTAGAGGAGAGTTACTTTATTATATCGCAGTCGTGTTATTCGCATAACATGATGAAAAAAGTTTGATATGCCGGAGGGTTGCTATCTCTTAAATTTGAAAACCAGGACAAGGCTACTTGAAAATCCGTACAAAAATTGAATCATTTGTACCTTATTCCAAAAATATATTATCATGTAGGTGAATAATGAATTTGAAAGTGAATGGTACGTGAATATCATTATTGTACAATGTATGGGTAAGGGTGCCTACATATACTGTTTATTTGTTACATAAACCGACTGAATACTCGAAAAAAAAATGAATTCTCAACAGTTGTCACATGAATAATACCAAACCGATAAATATAAAATTTTTAATGAAAATCCACTTACCTATTATTTGGGAATGAATGTCGAATTAATTGGGTGAAGAATGCTATCAACATAGTCATAGGAGGTGTTACATTAGCACTTGTATCAGCAACCAAAAATTTAGGTTTAATTATTGACTCTAATTTGAAATTCACGGAACACGTCAGCAAATCTATTCAGCGTGCTCAAGTCGACGATTACTATCTCTTGATTAAAAAAAAAACTGTGTGATCAACTAGTTTTATCTGATTTCAGTTATTGCGATATAGTATATGGTCCATGTATCGACTCCTTTGCCTGTTTTCGAATTCAAAAAATGCAAAACAACTGCACTAGCCTGATCTAGGGCTTGCGTAGATCTGATCATATCACTAAGTACATTTCATCTCTGGGTTGGCTTTTCATGAAAAAACCTAGTCTTCTACATGCCACTACTGCTTTCCATAAGAGTATCAATGAGAAACGTCCCTAATACCTTTATGAAGAAATAAAATTTCGTCTCTTCATTGCATAACCTCAATATAAGGAATCTTGCTTGCTTGAAATTTGAAGCACTAATTTATTTATAATGTTTTAGATGATAACGTTAAAAATCTGAGTATTGAGTCATTCAGAATGAAGCTAAAAGAGAAAATTCTTGATGAACAAAGAACACAATCTACCTAAGTGCACAGATTACTTGTACGACATTTGATATTTCCACAACTCAAAAAATAGAATAGTGAAGAGTTATATTAAGATTATAAATCAATTCAGTTCGTTGTCTTGGAAAATATCTTGTAATTCCCATACTTATTATACATATATTATGCACTTAGGTTGAAGTGTAAGAATAGCTCTTTGTAGCTAAACTTTCGCCTAATAAAGTCCTATTATTATTATAATTATTATTATTATAATTATAATTATTATTATTATTATTATAGTCACTTATTATACAAAGGAGAAAAGTATTAGATTTCAGCTCGAGGTTGTGTTGAATGTGTTGCCTCCCGACGCGTGTTGGAGAGATACAAAAAACCGAGAGCTAAAATCTGATATTTTCCTGTGTATGATCG